TGGTATATATACCATATATATTCTATAAAGATTGTATACATACATTAATGCATTTGATAGATATGCTCAAGATTTGTTTATTATTCAATTTTGTCCTAAATTTGTACATAAATATATATGTTTTTCTAACAATCCAAGATCACTCTGCGATCACAATCGATCGCTTATCGATAACTTTTTGTCGATACCACTTGTTTTCCTTTTTACCAAACACGCAGACAAGAGAGACATTAATGGTTGGCTAGATGACTGCTAAAGAGTTTGCTACTAAAGCATTCGCCTACACACACATCCACACCCACACACACACACACACACACACACACACACACACTGCACAACAAAAACAATAAAGAAACACGCAAAATGCCAACAGCAACAGCAGTAGACAAAAAGAGAAAAGTTACTACTACAATTTATGTATTTAATAATTATTAATATTAATATTAACATTAAAAAGAAAATAAAATCAATCAACCATAAATCTAAAAGAAAAAGAAAAATGAAAAAAAAAACAAGAAAAGAAAAGAAAAGTGAATATTGTATAATTAATGATGTAAAACAAACACAAACCTTTTTTTTCGTGCTGTAATTTTAGGCATAGGTGACATTTTTCGAGTAACGCTTGTATACAACATCCAACACATATGCACTGAAATACAACAACACGACAACGGACTGCGAGCAACAACGACAAAACGCTACAAAAACATCACAGACAACAACAACAGGACCAAAAGGACAGCTCAACAGCAACAATACACAACATACATCAAGCACAGAGAAAAAGTTAAACAACAACAACAACAACACGGTAAACACATTCGCGGTGTTTGTTATGGTACAATTATTATTATAAATGAAAAATTCTTTTTTTTTATATATATTATAAGCGAATCATATAAGAGTTTTTTTTTTTTAATTTGGGTTTTTAATTTGGTTTCTAACTAGGAATACATACAGACACATCATATCCACTCACACACACACGCAGACACTCAATCATGCTAACAAATTGTATACAAGAAGCTAAAAGAAAACCCGTTTAAGAACWTACAAAATAAAATAAAATAAATTCAAATAAAAAAGTGTGAATATTGTGTTTCTATTTGAAGCTCAGGAGTTGTTTGACCCGTTATTTTCGGACTTAAGGTAACTAGTTGGAAGAGATATGGCGAGCAGTGCAGATTTGAGCTCTCATCGAGTTCTGTTAAAGATTGGACTGAAGCGGAAGTGGAATACGCAAACTGCATGCCGTTCTCTATCAAGTGAGCTTTATAATTGACGGGTTCCTCTATTCGATACTCATTAATCAGAAGGAAATATGAGAAATTATGCTTTGAACTTTTGCCTTAGCTGTGTTCTTGCAACATAACCAATTGCATCTGGGGGATGCTAATCAATGTACTCAAGCACATATACAAGCGCACTTCAGCATATACATATATGCTGCGAGAGAGCCATAAAGCTCATCTATGTATGCAAAAGTTTTTTCGCGGGTTTATGCATGTGCAAAAAAGCTAACTGACCCACGAGTCAAATTGTTTGCTCGAACTCTTAAGAGTGAGGCTCTCCACACTTAGATAACCGATCTACTCCTGAGGAAGAGAGAGGAGAGCTTAGGCTAATAAAGGTATTTCTACCTCAATTGCTGCATGTTGCTGAAGGAATCGGAAAGAGCTTTTTTCAAAAGACAGTTTGAGAGAGGAGAGAAGAGCGAGTTAGTGTGTGAGTGCCACTATCAGAGGCAGTGTGAGAGATACAGACAGTATGAGAGAGAGAGGGAGAAAGATAGCGATATAGGGTATATACGCATCGGCTACATTGAGTTTCCTTTCGTCCGTCGTGTCAGGAACAGGCTGCGCAGCGAGCTTTGCCCAAGCTTTTGCTTTCGCTTTCACAGTGCGACACGATGAGGAGCGAATCGAAGCTTTGATTTGTTGCTTCCCACACGCACAAAAACATCGAGTAAACGAAAAAATGTCAACAAATTGTGTTGACTGTTATCAAAATCGTACAAAATATATAAAATCAAATTCAAAATTATACGCGCAAAACAACTGAAAAGAAAACAAAGCAAAGGCAGTGGAGCACAAACGGGAGCGAAGGCAACAGGGTAGAGCAGCAACAGCAGCGGCAATTAGTAAAAACAAAGAGAGAGTAGCGCAAGGAAGAGCAAAAGCAAAATTAAAGGAAGCGTACGCAAGGCCAAAACCAATTGAAACAAAAGCAAAAGGACACACGCGAGAGCAACAACTGCAACAGCAAAACCAACGGCAGTTGAAAGCAGGAGAGCAGTGAGCTGCGGAGTTAAACGAAAAAGAAAGAAAGAAAAAAAAAAAAAAACAAAAACAAAAAGCAACAAGCAGCAACAGCAACAATTGTGCAAGTGCATTTGTGTGCGTGTGTGAGAGAGCGAGCGAGTGCATGTGAGCGTGTGTGTTTGTACTTCTGCGTGCGTGCGTGTTTGTGTGGGTGCGTGCGTGCTTTTATATCTGCTCGTGTGTGTGTTGGCGTGTGCAGTAACTGCGGCAGCCCACCCCCGAAACTAATGAGCAAAATGAGCATGTTCTTTAACCGAGTGCCGTTGTTCAGCTGCTTTAGCGGCAACAGCGAAAGCTGCGAGGAGCTGTTGCCTTTGAATGGGGCCGTGCGTAAGGAGCCCGTTATCCTGAATGTCTACGATTTGTTTACTATCAACGAATATGTAACGCCACTCGGACTGGGCATCTTTCACACCGGCATTCAGGTGTATGGGACGGAGTACACCTTTGGCGGGCATAGCCTGAGCAATACGGGCATCTTTGAGTTGGCGCCGCGCAGTGCTCAACAGGAGTTGGGCCAAAACTTCCGCTATCGCGAGAGCATCCACCTGGGCCACACACATCTAAGCCGCGATGAGGTGCGTCGCATTGTGGAGCAACTGGGCTGGCAATTCAGTGGCAACAGCTACCACCTGACCAGCCACAACTGCAATCACTTCTCGGATACAATGTCTCGCATTTTGTGTGGCCGGCAGATACCGGGTTGGATCAATCGATTGGCACACTTCGTTGGCTGTGTGCCATTCCTTGAGCGCTGCTTGCCCCCTGATTGGCTAACACCCATGTAAGTGGGCGTGACAGCAGCAGAGGATGATGGCGGTGTTGGAAGGGGGCGGGTGTGCGTGTGCGAACAGCTCAACAATTATCATATTCCTAGCATAAGATTCATTCAATTCGTTACTGTGTTAATGTGTCTAGACAATTATAGTAGGAACCTCAAGTACAAGTATCATCCAATCCAAATCCAAATCCTAATCCAAATCCGAATAAATAGTTATTGCTAACATTCTTTCTTTTATAGATTCAGAGAGTGAGGAGCAGTGAGTGAGGAGCAGCGAGTGAGGAGCAGGGACGAGCTACGGACAGAGTGACGAGTGACATTTACTGACGAGGTGATATATGTATGTACAAGTGATATATGTATGTACATACATAGCTGTAAGCAGTTGGGCTTTGACAGGTTTTTTTTTTTTTTTTTTTTTTTTACACCCGGTGCTGTTATTATAACAACTGGGAAGCAGGGCATCGTGCGACGAGTAGAGACTAGAAAGTGAGACATTATATTTTATATAAATGTATTAGAACTGAAGCAAGATTATGTGTATTGATGGCAGGGATTAGAACGCATGGATTGAATACTGGCGAGTGACGAATCATACATATTTTACTTTCATATAATATATACGCATTAAGATAATCTGAGCTGTTCCCTAATCTAAGATACTGTAAGACTCAACAGATGAAATTGTGACAAGTAACGAGCGAAAATAATGGTGAATGAGAAATTATTGTAATATCAATGTACGTATCTATGTTTACTGTAAGTGTAAAAGTTGTAAACTTCACTCGATAGATGAATCGATTGTCTGTCGCTTAGCGAGAGAGAAGCAGCGAGCGAGAGCGAGCGAGTGACGAGATAAATGTTGTTATATATGTATGTGTTGTATGAATGTGCTCAAACTGGTTTCTATTGTTAAGCCTATGTAAAAGTTACGCCAGTTAAATTTTCTTGAAAGTTTCTCACTTTACTGAAATTGTGGCAAGTAGCGAGTAAGAAGTAACGAGATACGGGTAGAGAGTAACGAATGACTATAAAAAATGGACTCAACTATGTTAGCTAATAACTTTATTTTGATTTTGTCTGTTTTGTTTTTATACAAAAGCAAAATTTTATTGGAGCGACGAAGACGAAACTGTGGCGAGTAGCGGGCAGTGAGTAGCGAGTAAGAAATAACGAGTGAAAAACTATCTTTGGTATACATGTACTATTTATTTATGTAATCTTGTGTAAGCTTTGAATGACACTCAGATGAAACAATTTTTGATAGGCCAGTTATACAAAATATATCAAATACAAATTCAATGTACACAAATCCATGCGAGTTTATTGATTATAGCGAGTAAAGACCAAGGATTATGCTGGGTATGCGTAAGTTGAGCCAGTTGGGCCTTGTCTTAGCATTAAGCGATTTCTGTTTACTGAGCAATTCCTGTGCCCCTCAAGGTCCCAAGCCGACGAGACTGCCAAGGTAAGTGATATATGTATGTTTATGTTGTTACGTATATGTAAATATACAGCTATGCCGTCATAATTATGAATCAAACCGCTCAGCATTTGGGCGCCATTAGAGAATGTGCTGACACTGCCAGCGCGAGTTCCCCCTCAATGTTTGTTTTAATTCCTTTTTTTTTAGTTCCCAGCATTCAGTTTGGCAAAAAAGAAAAAATAAATGTTACTGGGGTAGCATAGCAACACAAATTATGCAAAATTAATATAACCTGTTGCTGATCGAAGTTGCTTATTGCTCAAAATTGCATCGCTCAGCTCTTATATCCTATGCACTTACGCTCACACAAATGTGCGTGTGTGTGTCATGCACTTATGTTTATATACTCACTTATACTCATACGAATAAACTGTGATACTCTTAAGTACATATACTCTTTCACTATTCTACTGTTGCACTATTATGCTGTCTACTCTTCTACGCTGCTGCTTTCTTCTCATATACTGCAATACTCTTCTACTCGCATACTATTACACGCGTTGGCTTTTACAAAATGCTACTCTTCTGCTCTCTTAGTCTTATATTCTCGTCTTCTATTACTTTAAAGAACTTAAGCTATAATTCTCTTATACTCTCTTTTATATGTGCGTATACTCTTAGTCTCTTAAGCTCAAATACTTTTAAGCCCTCATATTTGTAGGCTCATTGCTCGTTTACACTTATTCTCTTCTGCTCTTCTACTCTTCTACTCTTCTTTCAAAGTAAGTAATATACGCTGCTTAGCCGCATTACCATAGTTACAGGGTATACAGTGAGAAGATATTGAAATTCTTGTTTTTGTTTGTTATTTAGTTTTTATTTATGTTTCATTTTGCTGTTGTTTGGCATAAATTGTTAAACATGTTTTTTGGTTTTAATTTAATTTTTTTTTTTCGTATTTAAATATATATAGTTATGTATACTTTTTTTGTTTTTTTTTTGTGTTCTTTTTTTAGTTGTATTTGGTTGTAGTTTTTGTTTTTTCTTGTCTTCTTTTATCTAGTTTAGTTGTTTTTTTATATTTTAATTATTAAATTTAACTCTCGTTTATGCATTGCTTAGCTAAAAAAAATCCACTTACAATTAGTTTACACAAGTTGAAATAGTGCGAATGACTTTTTGTTTGTTTTGTTTTCGTATAGCTGTCTTCTAGCACTCGCTGCTGTTTATCTAAAACCTAACGAGATACGAGCGATGGGAGGGGGGGGGGAAGGTTTGTAAGAGCGGGTAAGCTGGAATTAATTCTAATCTCGTTTCATCTCACTTCTGTTGTCAATGTGGCGAAATGGGAGTGGGGAGCGAATGGAAACTCGCTATAGCTGACTGAAAATGATGATGCTCGATCAACGAGTAACGAGTGCAGGGTAATTCGTTGTACTTCAGCTATTGACATTTCGGGAGAAACTAGAGCCAAAGCGCGATGAGTGAACTTAAATTCGTTGTGCTTCAGTCAATCTGATTTGGCGAGTTTGATATATGTGAGTGGCGAGTAACAAGTTCACTTGAGTTTAGTATGATTGGCCTTTTAGTGAGTAACGAGTGATTTGAGAATCGATAAATCAGAGCACCTCAGTAGGACTAAAGACTAAAACTCTTTATATATGTATCTGAGCACCATTACAATTCCCGTAGGTGAAGTAGCGGGTGGAAAAAACGAGGGATCCCCAGTGACAAATGGCAACGAGTGGCAAGTAAACCCAAGCCCTTCCCTAGAGGGACCGAAGATGAAGTAGCGAGTAACGAGTGTGACTGACGAGTTGAGAATAGCGAGTAACGAGTACATCGCGTGGTAAGGAAAAGTGACGAGCGACGAGTGACGAGTGACATTTAGTTCTAGTTGTATTCTTGCTATTAACAATCTGTCTTACAGCTGATTTATCTTGTGTAGTATACATTAAGGTTAGTGCTTATGCGTATCATACAATATTTGTCTTTTTTTACGTTTTTCTTCGTTTATCAATTCGTTTGCTTTGGTTTTTTTTTTTTTTGTTTTTGTTTTTTTTTTGTCGATCGATCGATTGATCGATCTGTATATTTTATAATCTCACGCTAAAATCTCAATTACACAAATTCGCTTAGTTGCTATGACTAGTTAGCCTATTAGAATACAAA